CTACAGTTGGAGGATCCAGAAGCAAAAAAAAAAAGGAGTGGATATATTCTCTAGGACCCAGACACTGCAGGCAGGCAACTTGGGAGATGGTGAGCTTCACTTCAGCCCCATGGGGTTGGTTACTCATAGATCCATCTCATCATTCAACGTTCACCAAGAACCTATTGTGTGCCTGGCCCTGGGGTGAGTGCTGTGCTCATTGTGAGTCATAGTATGGACACAGTTCAGACAAAAATCACATGTTAGGCAAGAATTAAACAAAACCACCATATACTACCTTCTAATTCAAAGATGCTACGCTTTGATATTCTCCCAGTGTTGGTTCCTTTGTGAGGAGGGCCTCCATTTTCAGGTCTCAGATGATAACCAAGAAAAGACCAAATTTGAACACAGCAGCCCACTGCATCCCTCACTTCTAAAACAAATTTCCTGTTCATTCCAAGTCCACCCCACTGTATTGCAGAGCTGCTTGCTCAGCAAACATTATAACTACAGCCACCATTTTTTCCACAAGTATATTTCATATATATCATATATTTTTGTGTGTATATTTATATATATGTATATATTTATGTGTACACACACACACACACACACACATATACACACACCCAAGGCTTTTATTCAGCCTTGATTAAATGGCACCTAATGAAAAAAACATTAAGAAAGAACATTAAGTAAAGAAGATATTGACACAAGTGCTTTGAGGATGCAAAACCTTGGGTTAGCCTGGGACTTGGCTTAGACCGATGAAAAAGGTTAGAAATATTTACATATCAGATACAAAATTTAGGTTAAATCCATACTTTTTTTCTGAATCTTGTTGTTATGTAGTTGAATTTCCATCTAAGTCTGTTTATGGGGAAAAAAAATGCAGTTTTCCTATAATATTGAATGGTTTAAGAGTTCTAAGAACTGCCAGCTTGTAACCAGGAGACCATTAAAGTTTGCTGTAAGAGACAACATGTGTTAAAATGTTTGCTGTAGAAAATTGTTCACTTAAAGTAGCTAAGCTGTGTTTATCAAAGGAGGTTGAATTTTCTCACCAGCCTTGCTATAATTAATCCACCGACTATGACCTCACTGGTCTTGTTATAATTCAACCAGTGAAAAAGGCTCAGCAGAGCCTCTTAAAATTAGGAGCATGACTAAAGGCATTGCTTCCCTTAAAAAAAATTATTTTGAAAGTAAAATAAACAAGTGATCCTAACAGATGAGCTATAAAACACCATGCAGAATCTCGATTTTCCACAACAAGGGAATTCTCATGTCAGGAGGGTTAATGAGATGGCCTGAAGTTTTTCCCTCTCTAATACCAACAGGCAGGCCCATCTGCAGGTCACCAGGGTGTTTTTCTAGAGGTCCAGCCCTGCTCATTCCTCCTACTTTTCTGTAAGTCTTGGAGAAATATAGAAAGTGCATCTTCTCCATGAGCCACTAAACCAGAGTTTCCACTGACTGCCCTGGAGCTCAGCCCCTCAGAAAGGTTCTGGGAAAACTGGCCGGAAGGCTGCAGTGTGGGGAAGCTCTCTGTGCGCTACTCCAGCTGTTGTCTGATCCAGCCCAGAGCCTTCCTGGGCCAGGGACCTGCCACTGGAGAAACAATTGGTTTTTTTAATGCATTTTCTCCTCCCAATCAGGGTTGGAGAAGTGGTGCTGGCTGTTGAAGGCTTTTGGGGTTCGGCACAAACATTAACGGAATGACAGCTGGCAAAGAGAAGCATAGCATTGTTATGCCAGGCAGCTCTCAAGGGAACTAGCTGGATGGCCCCCAGAAACCCATGTGGTAGCATTCACTGTGGTCTCCCAGACTAGGTCTGGCCAAACCAAAGAGGATGACTTCTCTCCCAGGCACAGGCTGCACACATCCCAAAGCAGGTTCCTGCTGAAAGACTAGTCCACGAAGAGCCTCCAGTGAGACTAGGTTCTGAATGATGAATTGAAAACGGCCCAAACTGTTCTGCTTCTGGGCTAGGCTGAACTGGGCACAAGCTGAGTTCCAGAAAGACATCGAATCCTCATAGATTCTCAAGTACTGCCTCCTGCACACCCGGAGCAGCCTGCCACCTCTCTTCCCATAGTGAAGACACCAGACTCCAGATGAAAACCTCAGGGGAGGCAACATCCTCCTCCCTCCCCTTTCTTTCCATGTTTTACCTTCTTTACTGCTTTTTACCTCTCCTTTTCTTCCTCTCCCCTTGGGTACATCCCCTTTCCTTTTCCATCAATCCAAACTCGGCAACTGCAGAAGTAGAAGGACTCTCCCCGGGGTCTTAGGGATTGCAGTTCCAGAAGGACGGGTTCAAGATAACTGAGAATCAGTGTTCCAAGGGAGGCAGGAAAAGTGGGGGCTTCTATGGACAACTGAATATTGACAAGAAACAGGAGCTGTGTGACTGATGTCAATAAAGAAAAGAAAGCATAAACAGGAAGGAAATGTCCACAAAACAAGAGTCCATTAACCTCTTGATGTGCTTTCTTGAGCCTCTGGGCACCTCAGTTCCAGATGCCTGCGGTCAAAGGACAGAGAAAAAAAAAGTTTACATTCCAGGCAACAGCTGCAAACATGCTTAAGTCCCATTTCCTGATGGCCTCTTGACCCCATCTGAAAGGCTTTCAATGTTGCTTCCATCATAATTTTCCTTTGATTTCCACTTTCTCCCCAACATCTATCCTGTCCTTCTCTCCATCTCCTTTTTCTGATGGCCTCTACCTGTTGACTTAGGCTTCATGTGCTCACAGAAAGTTTTCCCCAAACTCAAAAGAAGGAATGAATGCTTCTCCATGGGCCTTCCAGTGAACTGAGCAGGGCTGAGCCAGGGGGTCCCTTTTCTCAGCCCTGACCTGGGGCTATCCTAATGAGAGAGCTACAAGGGACAGTGTCAAGGACATTGGCTCTTAAGGAAGAGAGAGCAGGATTTCGATTCTGCCTGTAATAGCCGTGGGATCCTGGCAAGGTTCTCTATTACCCTAGGCCTCGGTTTCTTTGTCTGTAACAGCGGCAATACCTATCTTAGAATTGTCGTAACAATTAAAGGATTTAATATAGATAAAGTATATGGCCCATGACAAGTGATTGTCTTCTCCTTCCTTCTTCTTTCTGATTAAGGACTGCAGTCTCTTGATGTCTGGTGTCTGGATCCATCCACATTACACCCCACTTCCTGCCCAGATGCTAGGTTAAGTCAACATCTGGAGGGGGTTTTATGTCTTTTATCAGCCCTCTGCTGGGCCAGGTCAAAAGACCAAGGTTAAAAGTCACCTGGGTTGAACTCTGGGAGCAGCCCTGTGTGAAGGGAACCACTCAGAAAGCTGAGTGGTTCACATGATGGACAAGGTCTCCCAGGGCCTAAATGACAATTGATCCAATTTTACCTCCCCTTTCTAACCCTGGAGTGCTCAGCCCTCAAACAGCCTGTGTTCAGAAGCCTTCTAATTGCCCCCTGTGCTGGATACTGCCACCTAGGGTCTATTCTGAGACAGGTCTTCTCCCCCACAGGAATAGAATTGTCAATCAGGACTCCCCTTCCTGGAGGAGTCTTATCCCTGGTACGCAAATCACGCACTCCTCTGCATAGTTAGACCATGACATATTTTCCAAGGGCTCTCCTCATTCCCTCTCCACCTTTGAGAAGATACAGGAACTATATAAAACCTGGAAAAAATTCCCCAGCTGTGCACTCAAAAGATTTTTCTGGAATAAAAGCCATAATAATAACCAGCCACATTAGTCCAGCACTTTGAAGTCTCTGAAAAACTTTTATCCATTTAAACTCTGTCAAAGTAGGTTAAATGCTATAAAGAATGACTCCAAAATTTGAGTGGCTTAACAAAATCACAGTGTTTCTTGATCTCATCATAGTGCAATACAGGTAGGCAGAAAGGAAGAGAACCTGTCTTATGTAGACATTGGGGATCCAGGCCCCTTTCATGGCGTGGCATTGCCATTCCCTGGGGCCTCCAAGGCCTTCACTTGCAGTGCTCAGAGAGGCAAAGAGATAATATGGAGGACTCAGGGGAGGTTTCCATCAGGGAGACCCTGGACACAAACATCAATTCCACTGACATTGAGTGGTCAGAACTTAGTCACATGCCTCCCTAACTCCAAGGGAGCCTGGATGCTCACAAGGAAAGGAGACAGGATAGATAAGCAGGTAGCAATGCCCTGTCTTTGCTATAAAACCCAGAAACAAGCATGCTTTTCCCCAGATCAGGAAACTTAAGGCTGAGAATGGCTGACCTGAGTGAGATACCATTGCAAGTAAATGGACTTGATCCCAAGTCTTCCACTCCCGTTCATTCTTTATTTCATGCAGACTTTCTTTCTCCCAGGGGTACGTGTTGCTAAGCAAATTACTGATTCTTAAGACCAAGTTCCAGAGGCACACATCTATAATCCCAGTGACTCAGAAGGCTAAGGCAGGAGGATCACAAGTTAGAGAGACCCTCTCTCAAAGTAAAAATGGATGATATAACTCATTGATGGAGCATCCCAGAGTTCAATCCCCAGTACCAAAAAGAAGAAGAAAGAATGCCCAGACCATCTCATTTCCCCCATACCTCCAAGCATTCAAAAAGCCAAAGAGAAACATTAATACACATTTCCCTCCCACTATCTCTCAACCCTTCCTTCTGTACCATGGGAGCAGGATCAAACCTCTCCCAATAGCTCATCCATGAAAATAAAGATGCTTAAGCACATCTACATCTTTGGCCCTGGTTAATAAAGCATGGTCCTTGCCTTGGAAGAGTTCACAGTCTAATGAGAAAGACAGAAATGTGAGAAGCAGCTGTAACGAGACTTGATTAGACAACAACAGAGGCCTCAGAGGCCTCTGCAAAGTGCTACAGGAACACAGATAAGCAAGAAATTGATTTTCTCAGAGAGTCAGAGAAAGTTACAGGGAACTGGTCATGTTTGTCCTGGGCTGTGAGTCAGGAATAGCGCAACAGACCAGGCAGGGGAGCGTTGTAGGTCTGGGAAGAGCATTTGCCTACACAAAGACAGAGGAAAAGGGGATGTTCAGGCAAGTCCTCCACAGGAGACAGTAAGAATCCCAGAAGACTGCAGAAGGCTGCTTCATACTCCCTAGTTCTTCTGGGTCCCTAGGACAATGGGAGACCCTACAGATTGTCATGGGTCAAGCCAAGGTATTATGTCACAAGTCTAAAGGGCAGGATGGAGCCACATGGAGCCCAAAGGCCATTACTTACCTATAGCAGAATTAGTGGTTGTTTGTACCCACTGCGCTACCTAGAGGCTCTTTACATATTGTCTCATTTCAAATACTCCTCATTCTGCAGATGAGGAATGCAGATGTCAGGGAAGTGAAGCTGACAGCAGCAGAACAAGAACTCTCCCAGGTCCTATGCTCTAGAGCCCAGATATTTTCCTTAGGAATTTTGTCAGTGGGTGCAACGAGGAAGGGTGTTCCAGGGCTTTGCCTAATTCTGTCAGGGTCTTGTCTGATTCTAGTTCTTTTTCCTTCCTCTCCTTACACATGGGAGATGAGAGCTAATTTTGAGAATCTGTTTCTAGAGGACCCCAAGGAACAAAGGGCTCTCCCCTGATTCTGGAAAGCCCCTACTTTCCCACTCCCAAGTCCTCAATAGTTCCTCTATGCTATGGCGATCACCCTTCCAGAAGGCCACCAGAAGACGGAAGAATAAGAACCAGTGACTGATAAAGACAGAAATGGATCCAGGCCCAGAAAAGCATGTGGTCTCCCCCTTGCTCCTTGGACCTCATAGGCTGTCCTGTGACCTTCTACAGGAAGATGAGCAGCAACAACCCTACCTTCACCCACCCCCATGCCCAGGGCCCTCCATCTCTTTTTCTCTACCCTGCTCTGTTCTTTTTCCCAGCCCAAAATTGGATCAAAAGAACAAAGACCAATGGCATTGGTTTTGGTGAGGTTTTCTGACCTCTCTGAAAGGTGACCTGCAGGGAGTGTCCCATCTAGAGTGGATCAGGGCTCCTTCCTTCCCCTGCCAGAGAAGAGCCCTGAGGAGTGAACACTGCTGACCGTGAGAACCTAGTATTCCTCCTAGGGAGGGGAGGGCTATGCACACAAAGAGTGCTAGTGACAGCTTGTGACACAGAATCTTCCAGAAGTAAGCAGATACTCTAGGTAAGTGTTACTTCTCATCTATTCTTCACTTACAGAAGTAGCCAAATTTTGCAAATCAAAAAGCATGTATAAAGCTAAACATGGTGGCACATCTATTGTACCAGCTACTCGGGAGTCTGAGGCAGAAGGATTGCTGGAGTCCAGAAGTAAGGTCAGCCTGGGAAACATAGGGAGACCCTGTCTCCAAAAAACATGGGGGGGGGGGCGGATATAACCTACTAAAGCGACTATTTTTCTAACTTCTTTTATTTGTTCACATGCAAAGGCCTATAAAGGTAGGCAAAATAAATCACGTGAAATTGTGCGTTTGTTGAGTCATATTTCTTTTTTAAGAATAATACATATGTGTAAGGCAGTTCCCCAAAACCAGTGTATTCTTGTTGTTGTTTTTAGATGTATTTTGTAGATGTATTTTGACATATTATACATACATTGGGTGCAACCCATTACAATTTTGATCCCATTCTTGTGGTTCAACATGATGTGAGTTACACTGGTGGCGTATTCATAAAAGAGCATAGAAAAGCAATGTCCAATTCATTCTTCGGTCTTTCCTATTCCCATCCTCCCTCCCTTCCTTTCATTCCCCTTTGTCTAATCCAATGAACTTCTATACTTTTCCTCCCTACCCTCCCCTGTTACGAGTTAGCACCCATATATCAGAGAGAACATTTGACCTTTGTTTTGGGGGGATTGGCTTATTTCATTTAGCATGATATTTTCTGGTTCCATCCATTTACCTGCAAATGTCATCATTTCATTCTTCGTATAGCTAAGTAATATTCCATTGTGTATATGGACCACATTTTCTTTATCCATTCATCTGTTGAAGTGCACCTTGGTTGGTTCCATAGCTTAGCTATTGTGAATTGAGCTGCTATAAACGTTGATGTGGCTGCGTTTCTGTAGTATGCTGATTTTAAGTCCTTTGGGCATATGCCAAGGAGTGGGATGACTGGGTCAAATGGTGGTTCCAATTCCATGTTTTCTAAGGAATCTCCATACTGCTTTCCAGAGTGGTTGCACCATTGCAGTCCAACAGCAAGTTATGAGTGAACCTTTTCCCCCACATCCTCGCCAACATTGTTACTTGTATTCTTGATAATTGCCATTCTGACTGAAGTGAGATGGTATTTCAGTGTAATTAAATCCAGTGTATTAAAGAACAAAATTCCTTCATCAGTCTTTTTTTTTCTTGCAATGGTTGGCAAAGGAGGAAACAAGACCAAAGTTATACCCAAAACTGAAAAGGGAGAATTTGGGACAGGGTGTCTCAGATAGTGTCAAGTAGAGGAGAGAATTTGGGGCCTTCTTCACTGTGTTGAGAAAATCCCACTGTTACATGTTTCTATTATTATATTTATCACAC